TCTGGTGTTTTCAAACATGTCCTGACTTGCTTGCGTCACGTCAGGACATGGATCCGCACTGTCCTACATAAAATAGAAAATGAAAAATAAACAAATAATGTTCAATAATGTAATTTTCCAATATTGCCTTACTCTTTTATCTTTATTTTATCTTTCTATAACTGATTCATTGGTCGAAGAAGTCTCTTATTGAACAAATTTAGATACCTATCTACATATATGTTACTTCAGGTACAGAACGAAATGGGTCGAGATCTTATGAGTGAAATTCCACTGGGCAGGAAATGCCGATGATGAATACCTCTACGTGGGACTATTTGTAAAAGTCCAAATAAAGGGAGATACTCAAAGATATATCGTTGGAATTGTTTTGATTCTTAATACACATATTGTTATGAAGCAGTTCAAGATATTACATGGGTAATCGCCGTTTCTTGATGAAAAACAGTATGTTTTATTAACAATCTGGAATATTTCTTGTGTTGAAAAAATTAAAAAAAGAAATTCCTCTTTTTAATTAAGAATAAACCTTCACTAAAAGATGATATATTTGTAGAGCTGGACTTGTTTAATACGCCGGTAAGTGTGGTGTAAAATGAAAATAATTGTCTAAATTGCACATGGCCAGAGCTTTAAGGATGTAAAAAAAACTTTTCAGCGATTTTTATTTGAATACAATAATAAATTTCATGAAAATATATTTTGTGATTCAATTACGCCTGCAAATGGGTTAATTTCACGATTTCAATGTTTAAACTACATGTTCCCGATACATTGCAAATTGATATGTGTGGAATCCACAGCCAATCACACTTATATTTTTCTCAGGTCATTACTCTGCGAAATAACATCAGGTTAATTAGACTGCAACAGTCATCTGGCTCATTCAGCTATTCAGTCTACCATGTGGACAATGGAAATCAGATCCACAATTTACATAAACATTTGATCCATTTATATGTGATTGTCATTTGTTTCAGACACTTGTAGATTTAAAGAAACAGAAAGCATTTCCAATTAATATATGCCTGACTTTCCCTAAATCTGCTAGTATAAATAAATCATCTCTTTAAAAGAAACTGACCATGATTTTTGGACCTGGATTTGTCCCATTGTAAACAGAATGGGCAGTCTGTATTAAAAATTTTACAAATCAAATTTGATAAAAGCAAACGTGTATTGTTCATATATATGATCAAGGGATCACGAAACGGAGAGTTAACTTTGAAGATAATTCTAGGCAAGACGTCGAGTGTAATGTTCAATATTTCAAATTAAGAATGACAATTACTTTATACTGAACAAACTGCAAAATCAACGATTTGCATCTGGTAAGTGATTTGGTAGCAATAGAAGGGAACTGAAAGAAAGAGCTCTGTTTTCTGAAATCGAAATGGACTGACTGTGGGAGCTGGATTGTCAATACCGGGTATGTCTCCCATTCGCTCTGTCCACAGCCCTCATTCTCCTAGGCATGTAGTTCATGAGTGAGTTAATCCGCCTCATTGGGATGTTGGCCCATTCTTTAAAAAGGGCTTGTTTGAGCCAGAGTAACAGCGAGGCTGGCGTCGTCGAACCTTTCTATACAGCTGTCACACAAGAGATCAATAGGGGATAGCTCGGGACTGTATGGCGGCCTATCCAGTGGGTAGATATTGTTGTTAATGAGAATGTCGCGACAGATCCTCTCTACATGGAACATAATCCTGCTGGAATATGAGGTTGTTTTGCTACAATAATAGGAGAACATGGAATCGGAGGATCTCATCTCTAAAAAGTTACAATCTTCCACAACCAGTGGTGGTTTAACTCCATATGAGATTTCTCCCCACACCATAACCGATCCACTCCCAAAATCTATCTGTCTCTACTACGCAGCAGTCGGCAAAACCCTCTCCACGATGTCGGTATACACAACGTCGACCGTCTGCTCGAAACAGAGTAACCGGAACTCATTATTAAACAAGACTCATCTCCACTGCCTCAATGAGAGTCTACTGGGGGTAAATGCCACCACACAAGCCATACGACGAATGACGAGCAGCGGTAAGAGGCAGACCTACAAACGGGTGGTGTACCCGCTGACCAACTTCCCGCAAACGTGTCCTTACAGGTTTTGCATAGAAAGGTATATTATGAGCACCTATGGTATGAAGGGCAGATTTAGTGAGTTAGGTGCCGATGGCGCAAATGCGCGAGACGAATAAACCTGTTCAGACGTTGTAACATCACGCGCGGTCCTAGGTCTGTCAGCAACCAAGTTTTCCTTAGACGTCTAAAAAGAAGTTCTATATTACAAATATGGACACCGAAATGTCTGACAGCCTGTCTTTGCTTTTGACATTGCATAATCATCGCAATGACCTGACCCTTCCGAAGTTTCGTCAGTCGTTCAATGCTATCAAAAATTAATCGAAATTATCGGAAACAAATTTGCCTCTATAAAGAGTTCCTCATAGAGTCTGGCGTCCTTCCTAGTACTGAACACGGAAGAGAGGATGATAAATCCGCATTTAATCTTTGTATCAGTATAAGAGGACAATCTGACAAATCATTACATTCCCAGTTTTGATCAACCATCATATGTGCCTCCAACATATATTGAATATTCGAAGTTCATGTATGTTTTCATTACAGTTAAATTACCACATCTATATTTAAAAAATATCCTGAACATTTTACATTAGCTGTAGATTAACTATTTTTATTATCATGACAATAAACACCGATATAGAATTGTATTATCCTAAATATCCTAAATATCGTCCAGGTTAATGGTTTGATCTATAAACTTCCTCCTTGTAACAACTCTCGGTCAAGTTAATATCATTGAGTAAGTGAAATTGGTAAAATTCGTTCATAATTCATAGTTTAATCTTAGTACAATCCGTTCATACAAGAAGCATCTTAAATGGAAGAAAAGCGTTGTTACCTTTTCAATTTCGTCAACATTTAGAAAGGCTATAATAGATAGTACAGGCGATATTTCTAAAGTACTCTACTAATTCAAACAGAATATTTCACCCAGTTCTAGACAGATAATACCATTTCACATAAATTGTAAAGTTTGAGTATCGATATATATATGGACATAAGAATGGTTCCGTAAACGAAAATGACACAGAAGTTGAGTTACTATCTAGAAATGGAAAATTTTCCATAGTAAATGACAATAGTATACCAGGATTATCCTGCAGCTTAGTGTGGGAGTTTTCTGAGAGTGAAGACTAATATAAGCGGTTGATGTATACATAATTTTGAAAACCTGTATAGCATATTCTCAATATCAAGTCTGATTTGATCCTAATCAAAAAGGTCAGGTATATTCAAACAGGAAAGGAAATGTTCATGTGGCTACCTTTCAAACTTAATCACGTGATCGCATGATATTATTTTGTAAAGTATTTATGAAAATGAGGTGATCAAATAATATCTCTCTTTTTATTATGTTTATGAAATATGACGAATTCGGTCAAAGCCCGAATTTTGGTTTGAGTAAATTCAAAAGAAGGCACCCGAAACATCCTATAATTTGGTAAAACTTGTGATAAAGACCGCCATTCAACGAGTCATCTGATGTTTCAAAGCAGTCAGTTAAAGGGCAGTCATCCAATGGTACTAAGTCAGGGTCAGAGTTCAGATATCATCTGGATATAGATATGGCTGGGCTCGTCCAGAGACTAAAATCAAACCTTCCTGTGGAACACAGACCTTTTTTATTCATTCATACCAATTTAGAAACAAACCTATAGGGAAATGCTCTCAAGGCTCTCCGTTTTTTATATTTCTTATTAAGTCCTCTACATGCAATTTTGCTAACAGGGTGGCGATAAGAAGAACGTAGGCAAACGATTCCCTAAGGAAACGACACAACAGTGCACGGCTATTTCTTATTGGTAAATCCGAGTTAAATCAAATATTGAACGCCGCATCCACAGAGACATTGTTTAGATGTCATTCCAAGACACATACTACAATAATATATTAAAGACAATTGGAAAGATACGATGGACCGTAACACACTGTAACCGTTCAGAGTTTGCCGTCTTCGTGAATAATGATATGCTGGTGTCGGTTGGTGTGTTATTTACAAAATAATATAACATCATCACTTTTTGTTGGTGGATTTATAGAACGACAAGCACGGAATCGTTTCAAGAAACATAAATGATATGTTTCTAAACAGGAATAGCCTTATTATGTTTATCTACTAATGCCACAAACTGGTTTCATCACTATCGCAAAGGATATTGTCATAGATTTGAACTTTGCTTCAAAATACACAAACCAATTAGAATGATGATGATGTTTATTTTGGTTTACTTTGCTATAAACTTCATGTGAGACCTTTCCATAATAGACATTGTAAGCTTGCTTTCCTCAATCAAGGTTTTGAAATATCTTTTTCTTTCGCATATTTGCCCTACGATTGATTAACACATCTAGTCTTATTGATATGTAACAAAATACAGAAACTCCAGTCAGAAAAAATTTATTTCAGTGCAATAAATCAAGCACAAAAGCGGCTAAAATAAGGTTATCCTTAAACTATGGTCATTACAATACAAGTATTTGGTGATGATACAACAATAACTGATACATATATACACACACCATTGTGATATTTACAATATCTGCAACTGTGCCATTATTAAAGAACTATAGTTTTATTTTGAAACCAAACGTAAGCTGAAGTCATGTGGTATTTTGTTGCTATAAAACGTGTTGTTTACTATGTTTTCATTGGAATATAACCTTTTCAAAACTTGTTTCGTTGTGATGTGTATGTCTTTTTCTTCCATCCGAATTTTGAATTCTTATTCAAATGATTAAAATCCTCTAAAGGCATCTAATCTGTACGTTGCAGTTTAATTCATTATTTTTTTCTCTTCTTACTGCAAAACTTGTATAAAAATATTAATCAGTTTGTACATTATACACATTGTTCATCAAACATATAAGATAAAAAAAAAATGTTTATCACTCAGGAGCAAATAGTGATGGCCGATGATATCACTCAGGAGCAAATAGTGATGGCAAATGATATCACCCAGCAGCAAATAGTGATGGCCAATGATATCACCCAGCAGCAAATAGTGATGGCCAATGATATCACCCAGCAGCAAAAAGTGATGGCCAATGATATCACCCAGCAGCAAATAGTGATGGCCAATGATATCACTCAAGAGCAAATAGTGATGGCCAATGATATCACTCAGGAGCAAATAGTGATGGCCAATGATATCACTCAGGAGCAAATAGTGATGGCCAATGATATCACTCAGGAGCAAATAGTGATGGCCAATGATATCACCCAGGAGCAAATAGTGATGGCCAATGATATCACCCAGGAGCAAATAGTGATGGCCAATGATATCACTCAGGAGCAAATAGTGATGGCCAATGATATCACTCAGGAGCAAATAGTGATGGCCAATGATATCACTCAGGAGCAAATAGTGATGGACAATGATATCACCCAGCAGCAAATAGTGATGGACAGTGATATCACCCAGGAGCAAATAGTGATGGCCAATGATATCACCCAGGAGCAAATAGTGATGGCCAACGATATCACTCAGGAGCAAATGATGATGGACAGTGATATCACTCAGGAGCAAATAGTGATGGACAATGATATCACTCAAGAGCAAATAGTGATGGACAATGATATCACTCAAGAGCAAATAGTGATGGCCAATGATATCACCCAGGAGCAAATAGTGATGGACAATGATATCACTCAGGAGCAAATAGTGATGGACAATGATATCACTCAGGAGCAAATAGTGATGGACAATGATATCATTCAGGAGCAAATAGTGATGGCCAATGATATCACTCAGGAGCAAATAGTGATGGCCAATGATATCACCCAGCAGCAAATAGTGATGGCCAATGATATCACTCAGGAGCAAATAGTGATGGACAATGATATCACTCAGGAGCAAATAGTGATGGCCAATGATATCACCCAGGAGCAAATAGTGATGGCCAATGATCGCAATGAACAAAAGGAACTACCCCATCCTCACCTAGCGCCTAAAGGAAAGGATTATTTTACAGGGTGATATTTGCTTGTACATGTAGGACACAACCAAACGAGGGTATTAAGTTGTAACCGGATTCAATCTTCGTACAACATAGATATTTGAAAATTATGATAAGAATTAGTGTCAATTACATTTTAACATTTAATACAGAGTTTTCATTAGTTTCACTGTGTGGCGTGCTTGAACTCCACCAGACTTAATTTTGTCTATCAGGGTCTAGAGGATATATTACTACTACGTGAATGAGGTTTATTAAAACAAACGGCATTGAGAAGACAAATCCCCTATGTAATCGTTACAGATCGATCCGATGTATAATGTTTGTGATATTCAGCCACAATTAGTTAATTAGATATTCTATAAATCAGGAGCATGGACAAATGATCAATCACACATATCTACATCTTCCTAGCAACATGATTTTTAACATACAATATAAAAACACAGTTTCGAGAGACGCCTGTTGATGATGATGATTATGGAGATGTTTTACGGTTGTCGTAATGATAGGGGAAAAGATCGAGATAAAATTGAACAGTTGTATTTATGATTTCCTGTGTATTCAACGTATCTGTATTAAATTTCAGTCACGGAAGTATTCAACGTCAGTCACGGAGTATTCAACGTCAATCAGTATTCAACGTCAGTCAAAACGCTTAGTATTCAACGTACAGTCACTCGGTATTCAACGTCATATAACACGGGACCACGTATTTCAGTCACGGAGTATTCAACTCGTCAGTCACGGGTATTCAACGTGAACATTCAGTCACGGAGTATTCAACGTCAGTATTCAACGTCGTCAAAATATTCGGAGTATTCAACGTCAGTCACGGAGTATTCAACGTCAGTCATGTATTCAACGTCAGTAAGTATTCAAGTCACGGGTATTCAACGTCAGTCACGGGGTATTCAACGTCAGTCACGGAGTATTCAACGTCAGTCACGGTGTATTCAACGTTAGTGACGGAGTATTCAACGTCAGTCACGGAGTATTCAACGGTATTCAACGTCAGTCACGGATATTCAACGTCAGTCACGGAGTATTCAACGTCAGTCACGGAGTATTCAACGTCAGTCACGGAGTATTCAACGTCAGTCACGGAGTATTCAACGTCAGTCACGGAGTATTCAACGTCAGTCACGGGGTATTCAACGTCAGTCACGGAGTATTCAACGTCAGTCACGGAGTATTCAACGTCAGTCACGGAGTATTCAACGTCAGTCACGGGGTATTCAACGTCAGTCACGGGGTATTCAACGTCAGTCACGGAGTATTCAACGTCAGTCACGGAGTATTCAACGTCAGTCACGGAGTATTCAACGTCAATCACGGAGTATTCAACGTCAGTCACCTAGTATTCAACATCAGTCACGGGGTATTCAACGTCAGTCACGGAGTATTCAACGTCAGTCACGGAGTATTCAACGTCAGTCACGGGGTATTCAACGTCAGTCACGGAGTATTCAACGTCAGTCACGGAGTATTCGCGGAGTATTCAACAATAGTCACGGAGTATTCAACGTCAGTCACGGGGTATTCAACGTCAGTCACGGAGTATTCAACGTCAGTCACGGAGTATTCAACGTCAGTCACGGAGTATTCAACGTCAGTCACGGAGTATTCAACGTCAGTCACGGAGTATTCAACGTCAGTCACGGAGTATTCAACGTCAGTCACGGAGTATTCAACGTCAGTCACGGAGTATTCAACGTCAGTCACGGAGTATTCAACGTCAGTCACGGAGTATTCAACGTCAGTCACGGAGTATTCAACGTCAGTCACGGAGTATTCAACGTCAGTCACGGAGTATTCAACGTCAGTCACGGAGTATTCAACGTCAGTCACGGAGTATTCAACGTCAGTCACGGAGTATTCAACGTCAGTCACGGAGTATTCAACGTCAGTCACGGAGTATTCAACGTCAGTCACGGAGTATTCAACGTCAGTCACGGAGTATTCAACGTCAGTCACGGGGTATTCAACGTCAGTCACGGGGTATTCAACGTCAGTCAGAGGGTATTCAACGTCAGTCACGGAGTATTCAACGTCAGTCACGGAGTATTCAACGTCAGTCACGGGGTATTCAACGGAGTATTCAACGTCAGTCACGGAGTATTCAACGTCACTCACGGAGTATTCAACGTCAGTCACGGGTTTTCAACGTCAGTCACGGAGTATTCAACGTCAGTGACAATGTATTCAATGTCAGTCACGTAGTATTCAACGTAAGTCACGGAGTATTCAACGTCAGTCACGGAGTATTCAACGTCAGTCACGGAGTATTCAACGTCGTCAGTCAACGGTCAGTATTCAACGTCAGTCACGGAGTATTCAACGTCAGTCACGGAGTATTCAACGTCAGTCACGGAGTATTCAACGTCAGTCACGGAGTATTCAACGTCAGTCACGGAGTATTCAACGTCAGTCACGGAGTATTCAACGTCAGTCACGGAGTATTCAACGTCAGTCACGGAGTATTCAACGTCAGTCACGGGGTATTCAACGTCAGTCACGGAGTATTCAAAGTCAGTCAAGAAAAATTCAACGTCAGTCACGGAGTATTCAACGTCAGTCACGGAGTATTCAACGTCACGGGTATTCAACGTCAGTCAGTATTCACGTCAGTATTCAACGGAGTATTCAACGTCAGTCACGGAGTATTCAACGTCAGTGACGATGTATTCAACGTCAGTCACGGGGTATTCAACGTAAGTCACGGAGTATTCAACGTCAGTCACGGGGTATTCAACGTCAGTCACGGAGTATTCAACGTCAGTCACGGAGTATTCAACGTCAGTCACGGAGTATTCAACGTCAGTCACGGAGTATTCAACGTCAGTCACGTCAGTCAGTATTCAACGTCAGTCACGGAGTATTCAACGTCAGTCACGGAGTATTCAACGTCAGTCACGGAGTATTCAACGTCAGTCACGGGGTATTCAACGTCAGTCACGGAGTATTCAACGTCAGTCACGGAGTATTCAACGTCAGTCACGGAGTATTCAACGTCAGTCACGGAGTATTCAACGTCAGTCACGGAGTATTCAACGTCAGTCACGGAGTATTCAACGTCAGTCACGGAGTATTCAACGTCAGTCACGGAGTATTCAACGTCAGTCACGGAGTATTCAACGTCAGTCACGGAGTATTCAACGTCCGTCACGGAGTATTCAACGTCAGGCACGGGGTATTCAACGTCAGTCACGGAGTATTCAACGTCAGTCAGGGAGTATTCAACGTCAGTCATGAGGTATTCAACGTCAGTCACGGGGTATTCAACATCAGTCACGGAGTATTCAACGTCAGTCACGGAGTATTCAACGTCAGTCACGGAGTATTCAACGTCAGTCACGGAGTATTCAACGTCAGTCACGGAGTATTCAACGTCAATCACGGAGTATTCAACGTCAGTCACGTGGTATTCAACGTCAGTCACGGAGTATTCAACATCACTCACGGTGTATTCAACATCAGCCACGGAGTATTCAACGTCAGTCACGATGTATTCAACGTCAGTCACGGAGTATTCAACGTCAGTCACGGAGTATTCAACGTCAGTCACGGAGTATTCAACGTCAGTCACGGGGTATTCAACGTCAGTCACGGAGTATTCAACGTCAGTCACGGAGTATTCAACGTCAGTCACGGAGTATTCAACGTCAGTCACGGAGTATTCAACGTCAGTGACGATGTATTTAACGTCACTCACAGAGTATTCAACGTCAGTCACGGAGTATTCAACGTCAGTCACGATGTATTCAACGTCAGTCACGGGGTATTCAACGTCAGTCACGGAGTATTCAATGTCAGTCACGGAGTAAACAACGTCAGTCATGGGTGTTCCACGTCAATCACGGAGTATTCAACCTCAGTCATGGGGTATTCAACGTCAGTCAGTCAATTATTATTTTCATCAGTTAATGGACAATTATTCGGATGTATTCAATACATACAGTATTCAACGTCATCATAAAGTATTAAAAGTGACATAATCAAGTCACTAGTATTCAACGTCATATAGTATTCAACGTCAGTTACTGGTATTCAAAGAAAATTTCAACGTCAGTCACGGAGTATTTCCATTCAGTATTATAGCTCAGTAGTTTCTGTTTGAACATAGAAAAATATGTTTCAGTTTTAATTTCATTTGGAAGTGTGTTCCATTCCTGACAACCAGATACATAAATATGTATCGAATAATAGGTTGTCCTGTGTTTTGAAAATCAATATTTTTTACTAGATGCCTGTCTTGTAGACCGCTGATGAACATTTCCAGCCAAAATAAAATCGCTGGAAAGATATTGTAGTACTATACCATTTATACATTTATAGATATGTATATTTTAATGTCATAATTATTTTTTAACAGAATAATTGTCACAGAGTCCATCCACTTCCACTTAAACAGTTTTTGTGTATTCTGGTGCTGAAACATATATATATTGCCATTCAGTCTGTTCGTTTCAGCAACACTTGAAGGTTCCTTAACCATTTGGTGTAAATCAAATTTTACCATTTGGTCCAGGAATGTATGGGTATCATAATCAAAATAATCAGTGTTAAAATCACCCATTAGTACGAGTTCAATATTTTCACTCTGACATTTAAATAATTGAGCTTCAAACTTGTTCATCCTTGTAAAATCAGAGTTTGGTGGTCGTTACACATTTACGTTTAGAATCGGTTTGGAGTTTTTAACATGGATTTGAACACATATATTTTCAAAATCTTGCACCTCCAGACTGATTCTTCTTGTGAATGACATATCACATGTGATATATGTGGCGACTCCACCATGTCAGTTCTCTCCTTGCCTGTCCTAACATACAATATTTAAACTCCTAATTGGGAGTTTCTTATCAGTAATGGCTGAACTTTGCAACGTTTCCTGAAAACAGAGTACGTCCAGGTTCTGAGTTTGCACATGGTTGTTAATATTAAGTAGTTTCCCATAGACACTACGATTGTTCCAGGAACAAATCTCTATATTTCACAAGGTAGTATGAATGGCACT